CTGAGCTTTTCCAGCAACTTCTGTTTTTGTTCCTAACTGGAACTGGTTGCCCAAAAAGCTAAGGCTGGATACCCATAGGTATCCATCATCATACACCTCACCCAATATCTAGCTACACAAACTAGAATATAGTGGAGTTTCCAAGGCTTAGAGACAACTCACCATTAAGTTATAGAGACAAAGCTGTACAGCACGGAAAAAGACCCTTCGATCTGACTCTTCCATGTCGAACAAATTTCCCAAAAATGAAACTAGAACCATTTGTCTGCATTTGGCCCATATCCCGCCAAACCCTTCCTATTCGTGTACCTGTCCAAATGTCTTAAATGTTGTAACTGTGCCTACATCTACCACTTCTGCTGGCAGTTCATTCCACACACTAATTATCCTCTGTCCGAGGACGTTTTCCCTTGTGTCCCTTTTAAATTTTTCTCCTCTCACCTTAAAATTTTATGCGCTCTAGTTTAGAACTCCCCCACCCTGGGGAAAAGACCTTTACCATTCACCTTATCTGCGCCCCTCAGTGATTTTATAAATCTCTACGATGGTCAGGTACAAACTATTTGCTCTGCTTCTAATCTACAGGGAGGAAGGTTTAGGGTAACACTGGGTCATGTTTATGTTTAATGTGCTCTAACACAAGGCGTTCCCAATGGTCTATCACACTATTCTCACTGTTTGGAATGAACTCCTGCCAATCTGATCGATTACAATTAAAACTAAGAAATTAGAGCGAAAGGAAAGAAATTGTGGGTGATTGGAGACTGAAACAAACCAATAAATGCTCAGTTGCATTGGATGATAAACATCACCATTAGACACAAAAGAATCCCCTACAAAGGGTTAACCAACATCAGAAAACAATACACACATGAAATAAACCAAATAAAAATCAAAAGAACTGCGGATGCTGTAAATCAGGAACAAAAACAAAGTTGCTGGAAAAGCTCAGCAGGTCTGGCAGCATCCGAGAAGGAGAAAACAGAGTTAACGTTTTGGGTTCAGTGACCCTCAGAACAGGAAATAAACCACGTGGTCTTAGCTCCATTGTTGAGGTGTTCCGAAATCAAATGAAAAATGAAAAATTTCTGGAGCATGTAAAAAAAAATTATTTTGCCTACACTTCTGTTTATTAGTTCTGAAAACCTGGAAGACGGTGGTAGTGAAATGTTGTGACAAAAGACAAGATATATTCACCCCAAGTGGCTGTGGGCAGACAGGGCAACACAATGAAGAACACGTCACCCGGCAGCAAAGAGTGTGGGGTAACTGGGGGGCAGGAACTCATGTGATAATTTTACATCCGTACTGTTGTTGCTCATTGTGTTTAATGATCTGGTCATCCAAATCCCACTTTTGTAAAAGAACTTGCTTGGTCACGATTTATCAACTTTTCCCAATCTTATCATTCATCCCCCATAAACCAATATTGGTCACCCACCAATTCTGCTCCTGAAACCTGTTCAGATCCTCTCTGCCAGATTTTCAAAGAACAAAGAGGTGATTTCCTTGAAAATTAGGAAATTCTTGCTGGGTCTAAGGGGGTAGATGCCTGTGTTTACCCTTGACTGGTGAGTCTAGAACGAAGGGATAGCATCTCAGAGTTTAGGGATGTCATTTAACACATGCAAATTAGGAGTAGGATCAGGCTGTCCAGCCCTTTGAGCCAAATGTGGAGGCTTGGCCATTGCATATGTTCAAGACCAGCTTTGATAGATTTCTACAAATTAGACATCCCAAGTGCTATAAGGGGACAAGTGTTAAGTGGACGATCAGATGTGATCTCATTGAATGACAAAGCAAGGTCAAGGGCCCAAATAGCCACTTCCTCCTCCTTTTTCTTCTCAAATGGAAGTTTATAACAGCACAACACCATGGCTGATCTAATCATTGCCTCAACACCATATTTGGACTTAACCCCATTAAAGTTGACTCCTATTCTATGTCAAGATTCTTTGCCTGAAAAATATTCAGCGACTCCATGTCCTCCACTCTGGGAAAAGATATTCGACAGACTCATGACAATTTGAGATGGAAATTGAGAGACATTTTTTATCTTCACCAGGAGATTCCGTATTGTTAAACCATGCCCCTAATCCTACTCACTTCACAAGGGAGCAGCATTCTTTGGTGGCCACCTTGTCAGATTTCTTCAGGTTCTTATGTCTCAATAAGATCAACACCCATTCTACTATACCCCCAAAAGGCCACCTATCTTCACAAAGGAACCCCAAAAACTCAAGTACTGAGATAATGCTGTCCCTGTCCCGGGAGTGAGACATGGGGACAGTGTAGAGGAAGCTTTCTTCTGTATCTAACCTCAGTCTATACCTGAGCTCGGAGTGTTTGATGGGGACAGTGTAAGGCAAGGTCTACTGTCAGTATGAAAGAATAGAGGAAGTTTTACTCTATATCTAACCTTGATTCCTTACGTCGAGGAACAAAATTCCTACCAGTTTTTTCCACATCAACTTCTGGTCTCACGTTCACTTAAGACGAGACTATCAACTCACTGATTTATGCTAAATTGACTGGTGGATTCAATCAGACTTTAAGAAAAACGGAATCTGTGCTTCCATTTCTCTTCAGGCCATTCTCTCAGGTAGCTTTGCCATTTACCTGTAAGAATCTCTCTCTCTCTCTCTCTCTCTCTCTCTCTTTCTGCCACTTTCCTCCTCATTGGTCCCATCAATGCCCTTCTGGAATAGGCAGTACAGTCACTTACCTCACTGTTCAGCAGATCCTGGGTCAGGGGTCGGGCTGCCATTTCCTGCACCAGCAGTTTTCCCTCGGAATCAGTCACACTAGAGAGGTCAGACAAAAGGTCACCACATGGAACACTGAGTATATTCCTACGACTGGACCGTGTCCCACCCTCAGCCAGAATCGATGCGTTGTGTTCACAAAACGTGGCCATTGCTATCCGTAATAGCCCAGAGAACATTTAAGAGGTGGATCTGGAGTCACACATAGGCCAGCCCAAACAAGGGTGGCGGATTTCGTTGCTTGAAGGACTTTGGTGAACCAAGTGGGGTTTTAAAAACAAACAATTGACACAAAAGGCTTTTTTTTTTAATTCTATACTTTTAAATTGAATTCAAATTTCAACATCTGCTACAATCAGACTCGAGCCCACGTCCTCAGGATTACCAGCCCAGTGACTTGTTACACCATCATCTCCCTCAAAGACAGATTGGCGAGTACAAGAACCCTAACCATTGCCTGTTGCTATTCAATTGCGATACCATCACTGATACACCCATTCCCCCAACTATCAATATCCTGTGTTATTATTCATCAGAAACTGAATTGAACTGGTCATGTAAACACAGTGGCTACAAGAGCAGGTTAGAGGCTGGGAATACTGCAGTGAGGAACTCAACTCCTGACCGCTCAAAGCCTGTCCGTCTACAAGGCACAAGTCAGGAGTGTGATGGAATACTCCCCACTTGCCTGGATGAGTGCAGCCCCAACAACACAAGAAGCTTGACACCATCCAGGACAAAGCAGCCGCTTGATTGGCACCACATCCACAAACATCCCCTCCCTCCATCACCGACACTCAGTCGCAGCAGCATGTACTATCTACAAGATGCACTGCAGAAATTCACTTAGTGGGGAACTCCTTGGCCCGCACTCACCATCCTGACTTGGAAATATAATTGCTGTTCCTTCACTGTTGCTGGGTCGAAGTCCTGGAATTCCCTCCCTAACAACATTGTGGGCCAACCTATAGCACACGGATTGCAGCGGTTCAGGAAGGCAGCTCACCACCACCTTCTGAAGGGGCAATTAGGGATGGGCAATAAATGGTAGCCCAGCCAGCAATATCCACATTCTATAAATGAATTTTAGAATAGCAAGGAGCAATTCCATTCTAAATGCTCAATGTCAAATTGGTAGGAACAGAGCCAAAGAGTTAAAGTCTTGTTCCTCTAAAATGGGATTTTTAAAAATCAAAAATTTAATAGAATCCCTACAGTATGGAAACAGGCCCTTCGGCCCAACAAGTCCACACCGACCCTCAGAACATCCCACCCAGACCTATCCCCCAATAACCCACCTAATCTACACATCCCTGAACGCTATGGGACAATTTAGCATGGCCAATCCACCATAACCTGCACATCTTTGGACTGTGGGAAGAAACCAGAGCACCTGGAGGAAACCAACGCAGACACGGAGAGAATGTGCAAAGTCCACAGAAACAGTTGCCCGAAGGTAGAATTGAACCTGAGTCCCTGGTGCTGTGAGGCAGCAGTGCTAACCACTGAGCCACCGCACCACCCTGCCCAATGTGATCAGCATTTCTCCCACTTTCCTCAATATTTGTGGCTTCTCCTCCACCCCACATCATCATTCCCTTCACCCCCCCACGCCCTTCACAGCCCATCCTGCTTCCCACAGCTCAGTGAAGTATCTGCCACTCACCGATAGAGCTTGACAGCTGCCTTCTGGTGCTGATCCACCACCACGTCTGGAATCGGGGATTTTATGTTTCTCTTCTCCCCAAGTACGTAAAACATGAGCTTCATCAGCTGTGGGGATGCAGCTTCCCGCATTCCATCCACCACACCAATCTGGCCACGGCCCCCACGCTCTTGATCCCGGATACCCTTCGCCAATTGCATCGCCTGAAACCAAACAAAAGGTCAGCACGTTCCCAACCACTGAAACAGCACACCAACAACCACCTGCATTTATATAGCATTCCAAGCCAATTTGCAGGTGCAAGTATGAAAATGAAATTTGACATTGAGCCATGTAAAGAATTTTTTTTAAACCAGTATAGGTGCGATAACCCCCACAAGGATCATGGGGAAATCATCAATTAATCTCATGTTCTCTTGGTAACAAGCAATGGTCGGCCCACCTGGAACTCATCACCTGAGCCTTTTGATTAGAGGGGTTAAATAGTGTTGGAGGAGATTCATGTGAAGTGTAAACATGACCATAGACAAAATCAGGAGCACCGTGATGGAATACTCCCCACTTGCCTGGATGAGTGCAGCCCCAACAACACTCAAGAAGCTTGACACCATCCAGGACAAAGCAGCCCACTTGATTGCTTATGGATGTAGTGCCATTCGCTCCCTCTACCACTGATGCTCAGTACACACTGCTGCTACTATCTACAAGGTGCACTGCAGAAATTCACCAAAGATCCGTAGACAGCACTCACCATCTCAACTGGGAAATACATCACCATTCCTTCAGTGTTGCTGGGTCAAATTCCTGAATTCCCTCCCTAAGCACATTGTGGGTCAAGCTATAACACAGACTGCAACTCACCACTACCTTCAAGGGCAGCCAGGTACAGGCAAGAAGTGGCGGCCCAGCCAATATCACCCATGTCCCACAGATAAGTACAAGAAAAAAAGTTGGATCAGACAGTGGTATTGACCAAAATCGACTGAAGGAGCTGCCCCCGGATTCCCTTGCCGAGATAGAATCTACAATGCCACTTTATCAAACGTCTCAAAATGAACAAACAGAAAGGCAATGCAGTGAGAGAAAAGCGACACCATGCACAAATTAGCTCAGATGAGGATGATAATGACTTTGAATGTCCTAAGAGGCACAAGAAGGTTGGAGGAGTTGGGGAAGGCATAGGAATGTGAAGAATGTGACAGGCAGATTCAAAATGAAATCTGAAAAAGCACACATAACTCAGGAAGCCTATAATCGGGAGTACAGTCCTGGATCAGAGGAGGAGTCCCTCCCTCCCAGTCTCAATGATGGTAATAACATATCTCTTGACAATCAAATAATTCAAAATTCCTGGGATGGGTGTGTGAACTGCCTGTCCCAGGCTGGGACTAGCTTATGTATGGCACAAATAGTGCCTGTATTAGTTTTCAAAATTAATTGATGTTCCTTTCCAGTCCAACTTCCTAACTTATTACGCAAAAGGAATCAAGGGTTAGGAGGAAAGGACAAGAAAGTGGATTTGAGAATTATTAGATCAACTCTCATTGAATACTAGAGATCAATCGATAGGTCATTGAGTCCATTCCTGCTCATGTCCTTATGGTTTTATTACAGCATTGGAGCCAAAGGAACAAAGAACAAAGAAAATTACAGCACAGGAACAGGCCCTTCAGCCCTCAAAGCCTGTGCCGATCCATATCCTCTATCTAAACCGGTCGCCTATTTTCCAAGGATCTGTATCCCTCTTCTCCCTGCCCATTCATGTATCTGTCTAGATACATCTTAAATGACGCTATCGTGCCCGCCTCTACCACCTCCGCTGGCAACGCGTTCCAGGCACCCACCACCCTCTGCATAAAGAACTTTCCACGTATATCCCCCTTAAACTTATCCCCTCTCACCATGAAATCGTGACCCCTAGTAATGGAGTCCCCCACTCTGGGGAAAAAGCTTCTTGCTATCCACCCTGTGTATACCCCATGATTGTGTAGACCTCAGTCAGGTCCCCCCTCAACCTCCGTCTTTCTAATGTAAATAATCCTAATCTACTCAACCTCTCTTCATAGCTAATGCCCTCCATACCAGGCAACATCCTGGTAAACCTCCTCTGCACCCTCTCCAAAGCATCCACATCCTTTTGGTAATGTGGCCACCAGAACTGTACGCAGTATTCCAAATGTGGTCGAACCAAAGTCCTATACAACTGTAACATGACCTGCCAACTCTTGTACTCAATACCCTGTCCGATGAATGAAAGCATGCCGTATGCCGCCTTGACCACTCTATCCACCTGCGTTGCCACCTTCAGGGTACAATGGACCTGAACACCCAGATCTCTCTGTGTATCAATTTTCCCCAGGGCTTTTCCATTTACCATATAGTTCGCTCTTGAATTGGATCTTCCAAAATGCATCACCTCGTATTTGCCTGGATTGGACTCCATCTGCCATTTCTCCGCCCAACTCTCCAATATATCCATATTCTGCTGCATTCTCCGACAGCCCCCTTCACTATCTGCTACTCCACCAATCTTAGTGTCATCTGCAAACTTGCTAATCAGACCATCTATACCTTCCTCCAGATCATTTATGTATATCACAAACAACAGCGGTCCCAACACGGATCCCTGTGGAACACCACTGGTCACAGTTCTCCATTTTGAGAAACTCCCTTCCACTACAACTCTGTCTCCTGTTGCCCAGCCAGTTCTCTATCCATCTAGCTAGTACACCCTGGACCCCATGCGACTTCACTTTCTCCATCAGCCTACCATGGGGAACCTTATCAAACACCTTACTGAAGTCCATGTATATGACATCCACAGCCCTTCCCTCATCTATCAACTTTGTCACTTCCTCAAAGAATTCTGTCAAGTTGGTAAGACATGACCTTCCCTGCACAAAACCATGCTGCCTATCACTAATAAACCCATTTTCTTCCAAATGTAAATAGATCCTATCCCTCAGTATCTTCTCCAGCAGCTTCCCCACCACTGACGTCAGGCTCACAGGTCTATAATTACCTGGATTATCCTTGCTACCCTTCTTAAACAAGGGGACAACATTAGCAATTCTCCAGTCCTCCGGGACCTCACCCGTGCTCAAGGATGCTGCAAAGATATCTGTTAAGGCCCCAGCTATTTCCTCTCTTGCTTCCCTCAGTAACCTGGGATAGATCCCATCCAGACCTGGCGACTTGTCCACCTAATGCCTTTTAGAATACCCAACCCCCCTTCCCCCCCCCCCCCCCCCCCCCACCTCATGCCAACGACCTAGAGTAATCAAACATCTATCCCTAACCTCAACATCCGTCATGTCCCTCTCCTCGGTGAATACCGACACAAAGTACTCATTAAGAATCTCACTCATTTTCTGACTCCTCGCATAACTTCCCTCCTTTGTCCTTGAGTGGGCCAACCCTTTCTCTAGTTCCCCTCTTGCTCCTTATGTACGAATAAAAGGCTTTGGGATTTTCCTTAACCCTGTTTGCTAAAGATATTTCATGACCCCTTTTAGCCCTCTTAATTCCTCATTTCAGATTGGTCCTACTTTCCCGATATTCTTCCAAAGCTTCGTCTGTTTTCAGTCGCTTAGGCCTTATGTATGCTTCCTTTTTCCTCTTTGCTAGTCTCACAATATGACCTGTCATCCATGGTTCCCTAATCTTGCGCTTTCTATCCCTCATTTTCACAGGGACATGTCTGTCCTGCACTCTAATCAACTTCTCTTTAAAAGCCTCCCACATATCAAGTGTGGATTTACCTTCAAACAGCTACTCCCAATCCACATTCCCCAGCTCCTGGCGAATTTTGCTATAGTTGGCCTTCCCCCAATTTAGCACTCTTCCTTAGGACCACTCTCGTCTTTGTCCATCAGTATTCTAAAACTTACAGGAATTGTGATCACTATTCCCAAAGTAATCCCCTACTGAAACTTCACCCACCTGGCCGGACTCATTCCCCAAAACCAGGTCCAGTATGGCCCCTTCCCGAGTTGGACTATTTACATACTGATGTAGAAGACCTTTCTGGATGCTCCTTACAAATTCTGCTCCATCTAAACCCCTAACAAAGTGAATCCCAGTCAATGTTGGGAAAAGTAAAATCTCCCTTCACCACAACCACCCTGTTGCTCCTACATCTTTCCATAATCTATCTACATATTTGTACCTCTATATCACGCTCGCCGTTGGGAGGCCTGTAGTACAGCCCCAATATTGTTACCGCACCCTTCCTATTTCTGAGCTCTGCCCATATAGCCTCACTGCTCGAGCCCTCCATAGTGCCCTCCTTCAGCACAGCTGTGATATCCTCTTTGATCAGTGATGCAACTCCTCCAACCCTTTTACCTCTCTCTATCCCGCCTGAAGCATCTATATCCTGGGATATTTAGTTGCCAATCTTGCCCTTCCCTCAACCAAGTCTCAGTAATAGCAATAACATCATACTCCCAGGTACTAATCCAAGCCCTAAGTTCATCTGCCTTACCTACTACACTTCTCACATTAAAACAAATGCACCTCAGACCACCTGTCCCTTTGTGTTCATCATCTGCTCTCTGCCTACTCTTCCCCTTAGTCACACTGACTTCATTGTCTAGTTCCTTACAGGCTTTAGTTACTACCTCCTTACTGTCCACTAACCTCCTCATTTGGTTCCCATCCCCCTGCCACATTAGTTTAAACCCCCCCCAACAGCATTAGCAAAAGGATTCGAGAAGGGGATTGAGTCTACAGACACTGTTAAAGGAGAGGCAGGTGTTGAGGTGCAATGGGGACCTAAGCCTGAATCTTTGGGTTGGAGTCCGTCTCCGGTGGTCAAGGAAGGGATGGTTGTAGTGCTGCCCAGGGATTGATAAACCACCTGCAAATCCTTCAGCACATACACGAATGGCAGGTAGTAAGAGTGAGAGAAATCCCTGGTCAGCTCTGGGATTGAGCCTCTGACAAAACAATCCATAGCTCCAGACTGCAACATGCACATACAAACACATTGCCAGAGCAACTCAAGGCTGGAGTGGACTGGATTGTGATCCTGACAAAAGGAGTGCATTGCAACTCAAACTTCACTACTCCACCAGCTGCAACAAAATTGTCAGTGTCTACTCACCATCAAATAATGGGCAATTTTCAAACAAAGTGGCTAACTGGTCATCATTGAATGTTTTTAAGGCAAATTTTTGAACAGTAAAAGGAATTAAAGGTAATGGTGAGTGAGCAAGTAAGTGGAGCTGAGTCCACAAAAAGATCAGCCATGGTCTTATTGAATGGTGGAGCAGGCTCGAGGGGCTGGATGGCCTACTCCTGCTCCTAGTTCTCATGTTCTTATGTCATCAACCAAGCTACTATACAAATTAAATACATATTCTCCTTAATCCTAAACTCACATTTATACACAGGTACAAAGGGCACTCCGAGACAGTGTGTTGCGAGACAGAGGCCCTTGCAAACTTTTCTAACAACAACTGCCCACAGCTACTAGGTGTAAAGTTAACGACCTAGCACCTCAGTCCAGAGGCTGTTGCTTGGCATAAGCCACCAAGAATCATTAGGGTTTTGCATATCCGTTTGCTCAACAGTTAAAACAATAAAAGTCGACATTTATCTCTTTCAAAAGAAAAGACAACTTTACTGGGTGCTGCTTTCCAAGATCACTTGGCTTCTTATTTGTAAACAGCAAACAGACTGCAATCTCCTCTCACCTTTTGTCTTTCCAGTTCCAGACAAACAACAAATCTTTTGCAAGGCAGGACTGTCCAAACATGGCCCCATTCTGATTCACATGATCCATAAATAAATGTACTTGTGACAACAGTACTGTAATGGTTTTGAAAAAGGGTTAACGCTGGAGATTGCATGGAGCTTTACCCAAACTGATGAGGTTATACAGAATTGGGTGGAGACAAGTGAGAAAAGATTAAGTCTCTGTGACAATGTCTTTCTGACAAATGTAACCTGTATTGGCATGTAGTTTATTGTGGGATAGCAACATGCGTGACAGAAGATCCTCCTCTCATTAAGGTTCCTCCTCAACCCAATCAAGGAAACAGGATGGTGCCAACAAAAACAACCCAACCACAAGCTGGTAATTTTTGGCATCACAGCTCACCCCACCACTGAGGGGAGACAGACAGGAAGCATTAGGAAGGAAATCCCAGAGCTGATGACTAAGACAACCAAGGACATGTCCACCATTGGTGGGACGATCAAAAGGCCAGGATCAGAGGAGTGCAGGGAACTGGGAAGGTTCTGGGGCTAGAGGGGGTTACAGAGATACAGAGGAGGTAGGACACTGGAAGAATCTGAAGACAAGGATTTGAAGGAAAATGGAGCTTCACACAATAACCAAACAGGCTCCGAATAATAACTGACCAGCTGACTGGACTCACTAATGTGACCCTGTAAAGAGCAAATTGTCAAACAGAGCTGGAAGTGGCTCGGAGTATGAGGTGCAGTGTGAAATCATCAACAATAGATCATTAGTGTTTCCAAAGCAGGAGAGGGAAGAGTGTACATTCACAAAGCAACCAAGAAATGAACAGCCCCACAATAGAGATAACACTGTGTAGAGCTGGATGAACACAGCAGGCCAAGCAGCATCAGAGGAGGAGGAAGGCTGCCGTTTCGGGTCGAAACCCTTGAACGAGATTGGCAGAAGCCATCATACCCCTGGAAAGAGGGCGGCTATCATCATCTCTGTAGTGAAAAGAAATATACCTAGAGAAAGCTAATTTATTTTCCCTCAACTGTTGCTTTCAATCAACAAGTCAGAGACTTTGAGATAACAAGGTGTCGAGCTGGATGAACACAGCAGGCCAAGCAGCAGAGGAGCAGAGGAGCAGGAAGAAGACTTTATAAGTTGTGAATCAGTTGCTCAGTGCCTCCTGGAATGGAAGTGAAAAGTACCTGGAGAAGAGAGATTGAGGAGCAGCAAGTTCTGGCAAGACAAAAGGATCATCTCAGTGAATCTGGTGGAAAGGCTCCATTGCCTTTGCAGTCTTTCCCTCCATCCATATCACCAATTTTTTTTTTTTTTAAAAATGTATTTTGGTGTCTGTCTGAGTATGTAGAGGAAATTAAGGGAGCTAGAGTTTTTTAACAAGTAGGTAAAAGTAAAGATGCCTTCGTCCTAGCAGACAATAGGGCTGCTTTCTCATTAGACAGCACCATCTGGGGGTGGTTTAATCGAGTGTCATCATGCTTTAGGCAAGGGAACTAGGTTGAGAAGGCGAGTCCTTCATGGTAAAAAGACATATTGGCAGTCCATAATTGCTTCCCTATAGCTAAAATATGTTTATTTGCAATTCTTAAGTATAGAAACTTGCACGCTGCCAAACTGGATCTGAAAGATAGTGAAATTGGGGAAATCTTTGTGACTTCAAAATCTTTAACTTTTGTGAGGTCTCCAGGAATGACAATCCCAGGGAGATGTGATATCAGCCTCAGTGACAACTAACAGTCCCATTTTTTAAAAAAAAAAATCCCAATTTAAAAAAAATCTAAGGGTCTAATAAGACAGGTTAGTTAGAAACAATTCTAACAATTAGAAGGTATGAAAATAGATAAGTCCCCTGGGCCGGATGGGATTTATCCTAGGATTCTCTGGGAAGCTAGAGAGGAGATTGCAGAGCCTTTGGCTTTGATCTTTATGTCGTCATTGTCTACAGGAATAGTGCCAGAAGACTGGAGACTAGCAAATGTTGTCCCCTTGTTCAAGAAGGGGAGTAGAGACAACCCTGGTAATTATAGACCAGTGAGCCTTACTTCGGTTGTGGGTAAAGTGTTGGAAAGGATTATAAGAGATAGGATTTATAATCATCTAGAAAAGGAATAATTTGATTAGGGATAGTCAACATGGTTTTGTGAAGGGTAGGTCATGCCTCACAAACCTTTGAGTTCTTTGAGAAGGTGACCAAACAGGTGGATGAGGGTAAAGCAGTTGATGTGGTGTATATGTATTTCAGTAAAGCGTTTGATAAGGTTCCCCATGGTAGGCTATTGCAGAAAATACGGAGGCATGGGATTGAGGGTGATTTAGCGGTTTGGATCAGAAATTGGCTAGCAATAAGACGACAGAGGGTGGTGGTTGATGGGAAATGTTCATCCTGGAGTTCAGTTACTAGTGGTGTACCTCAAGGATCTGTTTTGGGGCCACTGCTGTTTGTCATTTTTATAAATGACCTGGATGAGGGCGTAGAAGGATGGGTTAGTAAATTTGCGGATGACACCAAAGTCAGTGGAGTTGTGGATAGTGCGGAAGGATGTTGCAGGTTACAGAGGGACATAGATAAGCTGCAGAGCTGGGCTGAGAGGTGGCAAATGGAGTTTAATGCAGGAAAGTGTGAGGTGATTCACTTTGGAAGGAGTAACAGGAATACAGAGTACTGGGCTAAAGGTAAGATTCTTGGTAGTGTGGATGCGCAGAAAGATCTCGGTGTCCATGTGCATAGATCACTGAAAGTTGCCACCCAGGTTGATAGCGTTGTTAAGAAGGCATACGGTATGTTAGGTTTTATTGGTAGAGGGATTGAGTTTCGGAGTCATGAGGTCATGTTGCAGCTGTACAAAACTCTGGTGCGGCCGCACTTGGAGTATTGCGTACAGTTCTGGTCACCGCATTATAGGAAGGATGTGGAAGCATTGGAAAGGGTGCAGAGGAGATTTATCAGGATGTTGCCTGGTATGGAGGGAAGGTATAATGAGGAAAGGCTGAGGGTCTTGAGGCTGTTTTCGTTAGAGAGAAGAAGGTTAAGAGGTGACTTTATAGAGACATACAAGATGATCAGAGGATTAGATAGGGTGGACAGTGGGAGCCTTTTTCCTCGGATGGTGATGGCTAGCATGAGGGGACATAGCTTTAAAGTGAGGGGTGATAGATATAGGACAGATGTCAGAGGTAGGTTCTTTACTCAGAGAGTAGTAAGGGTGTGGAATGCCCTGCCTGCAAAAATAGTAGACTCGCCCACTTTAAGGGCATTTAAATGGTCATTGGATAAACATATGGATGATAATGGAATAGTTTAGGTTAGATGGGCTTCAGATTGGTTTCACAGGTCGGCGCAACATCGAGGGCTGAAGGGCATGTACTGTGCTGTAAAGTTCTATGTTCTATGTTCTATGTTCATTTCCAGTTGGCATGAAGTAGATAATAAAACGATGGGTGATTAAATGGACAACATGCAACACATCAGTGTATATGGGTAACACAGCCCTGTAAAGTGGATGTATAACCCAAAATGCCCACTTCTCCCCCCCCCCACTTAAATCTAAACAATTTCACCCTGACCTGGTTAACTGGAACAGCATGTTACCTTCAGTCTCTCTACGTGGTTGCTCTGGGGTCCGTTCCACTGTACAATGAGTTTCCCCAGGTCCAGCAGGAAAACATCTCCTGTGTTAAAACTATTCCAGCTCATCTCAACCTGAAAGAAACAGACAAAATTCAAACGTCCTCCCTAAAGCAGACTTTTTAAAATGACATTTCAGTGCCAAGATCACACTTGCAACTTTTTTGACTCCATTCTCCATTTGCAGATGCTGTCTTCGAAGTAAAAAAAAAAAAGCTGCTAGATAGGTCTGTCAAACGAGGAGAGAGGCCGATTCATTAAACGTAGCCATGTTCTCTCCCAATCAAGTACCTGCACACGGACATACTGTCCATTTGGCCCAACTGCTCCATGCCAGTTTAAATTCATTTACAGGATGTGGGTATCACTGGCCAGGCAGCATTTGTTGCCCATTCCTAATAGCCTAGAGGACAGTTAAGAGTCAGCCACATTGCTGTGTTTGAGTCACATGTAGGCCCAGACCATGTAAGGATGGCAGTTTCCTTCCCTAAAGGACATTAAAGAACCAACTATCTATGTGATTTTATGGCCATCATTAGACCTTCTAAACCCAGATTCTTTTAATTGAATTCCAATTCCACCATCCGCTTTTTCATCTTTTTCTGATGAAGGGTCTAGACCCGAAACATCAGCCTTCCTGCTCCTCTGATGCTGCTTGGCCTGCTGTGTTCATCCAGCTCTACACCTTGTTATCCCACCATCTGCTATGGCAGGATTCAATTCCAGGCTCCAGAGAACACTCACTGGATTTCTAGATAAATAATCCAGCAATATTACCAGCACCTCCCCATTTCTCCCCACTATCTCACCGTCTCAAAATGTCCCACTGTGGCATTGCTTCAGAGAATCCACTTGTCAACCAATCAGCATCCTTTCCTCCTCTGGTATACTTCCGATTAAATGTATCAGTGCTATTTGCCTCAACTGCACCCTGTGGAAGCAAGGAATTCCCCATTCTCTAGCTGAAGACATTTTCTCCTGAATTCCTGATCAGATTTATTAGGGAGTATATTTAGGGCTTCCCAAAGATTAATAGTCATAATAATTCATTGTTACATGTATTTATGAAATTACACGTGTATAAATGATCATAAGCCAGCATAATTTTTAAATGACATAAATTATAAAAAGAAATACATCGTACAGAGTTAGGACAAATTTCATTTTTGTTCCAACCACGGCTTCTTGATATCCTATATGCCTACAGGTGGCACTGTGGCTCAGTGGTTAGCAATGCTGCCTCAGTGCCAGGGACCCGGGTTCGATTCCACCCTCGGGCACATTCTCCCCGTGTCTGCGTGCATTTCCTCCGGTTTCTTCCCACAGCCCAAAGATATGCAGGCTAGCTGTATTGGTCATGGGAAATTGCTATATTGTGTAGGTTGGTTGGATTGGCCATGCTAAATTGCCTGTAGTATTTAGGGATGTGTAGATTAGGTAGGTTATACGTGAATGTGTCTGGGTGGGCTGCTCTGAGGGTCAGTGTGGACTTGTTGGGCTGAAGGGCCTGTTTCCGCACTGTAGGGATTCTACGATCATACAGCCTTAGTCTGTAGCTGCAACACCAAAGGAGGAAGTATGCTGAAGCTGCGTCCAGCTGCTGCTGACCAGACGCAGAATGGCATCTCTAGCAAAGTCATCTCATCACCACCAATACGCCAGCCATCGCCATAGTCAGGAGATTGTCCCAAATCTCGAGGACCGGGGCCCCATCTCAACTTTCAAGGACCAAGAGCTCATTCACTCCAGCGCCATTGCAGGGATGTCGAAACACCAAAGGAGAATGACTTGGAATCTATTCTTCGATGCTGGAACAGTTATAATCAGAGGTCTACAGCATGACAACAGGCCCTTCAGCCCAACTTGCCCATACTGCCCAAGCTCAAGCTCGAGCCGTGACCGCAGTGGCCAAGAGGAATGGACCAGATCCACCACACAACAGCTCCCTGAAACCTCTCTCCACCACTGCGGCTGCAGGAAAAACAAAATGAATTTGATTCAAAAGTTAAATGAAGAAAAATAAATTAAAAAAGGAAGCAGGGGTGTTGCTCATGCGAGGAATGGAAGGCTGGGAGCCCGAACAACTCTTACCCTGCTGTCTCCGCCATCTTTTTACATAAAGGGAGAGAGAAAGTTTGCTAATCAAAACTCTTAAAAATCTCAAAAAGGACTTTTCAGGTCACCCCTCAGTATTCCCTTTCCTAGATGGGTACCAGTCTGTTCCATCTTTGCTGATGTTAAAACCTCTCAGTTCTGATTCAAATAGCTCAGAAGCTGATATCCCATCACCAAGTCACCCTTTATTTACACATGGAGATCCAGCTCCCTCAGAGCGAACAAAACCTCTGACGTTCCTGTTTATGTCTGTCAGCCAGGGCTCCCCGATTGGACCAGGTTAACAGCCCTAATCAGGGAACTCCTATTCTATAAATTGTCCACCAGGCTGACCTTGTTACAATCACTACACTGGCATCACTATCATAAAATATGAATACCTTCCCCAGGTAGGGGAGACAATGGCCTAGTGGTATAAATCACTGATCTGTTAATTTTGAGACTGAGGTAATGTTCTGGGGACCCAGGTTGAAATCGTGCCATGTCAGATGGTGAAATTTGATTTCAAAAATGATAATCTGGAATTAAGATCCATTGTTGATTGTCAGAAAAACCCATCTGGTTCAGTAATGTCCTTTAGGGAAGGAAACTGCCATCCTTACCTGGTCTGGCCTACACGTGACTCCAGACCCACAGCAATGTGGTTGACTCTTAACTGCTCTCTGGTTAGGCCAACATTTACTGCCCAAGCCAGAGACACCCTCATCTCATGAATGAATTTTAAAAGAAAAATCTTTAAAGTGGTCTAATTAAGGTTCTATACAAGTTTTACATAACTTCAGAGAAACTCATTCAATCCCTCAAGGTCTATCCTGTTTGTTTCAGTTAAATAATAATCTACAACTTACACCTCTTTATTAAAATTACTTTTCCAATTACACCACTATTCTGTGACCTCATTAACCCCTATTGCAATCTGTCAGCCTCCAGAAATTTGCTTTGGATCCTAGAGCACAAGTCAGTTAGCTAATCCATTTCACAAAAGACCATAAGACATCGAAACAGAAGTAGGCCATTTAACCCATTGAGTCTGCTCCCCCATTCAGGATCTGATAATCCTCAGCTCCACTTCCCTGCCTCATCCCCTTACAGATCAAAAATCCATCTGTCTGGGCCTCGAATATATTTAATGACCCAGCTTCGACAGCCCTCAGTGGTAAAGAATTCCACAGATTCACTCCCCTCAGAAGAAATTCCTCCTCATCTCTGTCCTAAATATGTGACCCCTTATTCCGAGAGTCCTTGACTCTCCCACAAGGGGAAACAGCCTCTTTGTATTTACCCTGTTAAGTTCCTGAAGAATCTTGAACAAAAACAAAGTTGCTGGAAAAGCTCAACAGGTTCTGGCAGCATCTGTGAAGTTAAAAACAGAGTCAAGGTTTCGGGTCCGGTGACCCTTCCTCAGAAGTTCTGGTCAGGTTTGACTGGACCGGAAAAGTTAACTCTGTTTTTAACTTCACAGATGCTGCCAGACCTGCTGAGCTTTTCCAGCAACTTTGTTTTTGTTCCTGATTCACAGCATCTGCAGTTCTTTCGTTTTTTTTATTCCCTGAAGAATCTTGGCTGTTTCGATCAAGTCACCCCTCGTTCTTCCAAGCTCCAATGAGTACAGATCCAAACTATTTGACCTTTTCTTAAAAAGGTCTTTTTAAATTCTTGTTTACCTTTTGGCTCCGTTCAATCTTTTAATTCTGCTTTTTGTAACCAAGTGTACTTTTCACTGTAGGAATAAGTATATATTCCTACACTTAGTACATATGTCAAGTAAACAAGCCTAAACCTAAATCTAAACCTAAAATGACTGCTGTACCTTTGTGATCTTCAACATTAGTTATAGCAGTCGTTTGGTAAATCAATTTGAACATTGAAGCTTTTTGTCTTGCACTCATCAGGACAAATGCAAGAATGCCAAATTTCAAATAATTTGAATTTAAAAAGATAGGACAAAATGGAGTGTGCACTAAATAGTGAGACTTAAAAATCAAGGTCACCACTCATTCATACACACGAACTCCCCAAACAAGAGGAACACGTTCAAGCCTTGTGCCTTTTCTGAATGACCTAGGAGCTTGGGACCTACAGTTCACATGGCTTCCTCCATGGCAACATCAGTCAAACCTTTCGGTTTTTGTTCAGAACTGTAGATGCTGTCAATCAAGAACAAAAACAGAAGTTGCTGGAAAAGCTCAGCAGGTCTAGCAGCATCTGTGAAGGTAAAAAAAGTTAATGTTTCGGGTCTGGTGACCCTTCCTCAGAACAGGGTCCAGGGACCCTTCCCCTGTTCTGAGGAAGGGAACACCGGACCTGAAACGCTAACTGATATTTTTTCCTTCACAGATGCTGCCAGAGCTGCTGAGTTTTTCCAGCAACTTCTGTTCCTGTTCCATCAGTCAAACCTGATTGGCCAGCCCATCAATTTCGTCATTTGGTATAAGTGGTTGTGATCTTTTGAAATTGGGCAGTCTTGGCATTGTCTCGATAAGTGTAAGGAGGGAAGCTTCAGCAACATGCCTCTCTTTTCAGTCATACTGAGTTAGCAGCTCCGTCCCACATTTTGAAGCTGGGCTGGGGGTGCTGGAGCTGCGAGGAGGATGCAGAGTTGTTTCAGTATGATCTGGACAAGACAAGCGAGTGAGAAATAACTTGGCAAATACAATATGTTGGGGATAAATAGGTTAGCCACTTTCAGAGCAGGAAGGCAGATCTTCTGTATGATGATAGATTGGGAAAGGGGGAGGCGCAATGAATGGAGTGTCTTTGGACACGAGTCACTGAACATAGCATGCAGGTACAGAAGGCCAGGAAGGTGGCAAATGGTAACGTTGGCCTTCATAAAGAGAATAAGTATGTCTTGCTGTAATTGTACAAGGCCTTGGTGAGATCATACCTAGAATACTGTATGCAGCTTGGATCTCCTTAGCAGAGGAAAGATGTTCTTGCTTCAGAGGAAGATTTACCAG